ATTATAAATGTATAATTAATAAAGAATAAAAATGAGCGTCAAAATTAAATTGTGAGATAATCCCGATATATCTACATAAAGTTGTATAATATGTCTCAAGGTTTCCGTACATATAAAGAATGCCGAAATCCGAGCTATAACGAAGAAGCTATGGCCCGCCGAAGTTTTACGGCAAAACCGACATGACACCTAGAGACGTAAATAGTGAATTTACGATAGAAGACTTTTTAGCCTTAGCAATATAAACAAAAGTCGTAGAATATGTTAAACTAAGAACATCGATAAAAAGAACGCCCAAATCTGACTTCGTATGAAGAAGTTATGATTTTTCTAAGATTCGGCTTAGCAGTGCACGGCCCGAAACTCGAATTTTAGTTCGAGCGGTTTTTGGCTTACGCAACCTAAATGAGGTTTGAAGATATCATTAATAGGAACTCAACGGTAAAAAGACAGACGAAAACGGAGTCCGTATGAAGGAGTTATGAACTCTTCGCGGTCATTTAACAGTCTAAACGCCTCTTACTGTTAAATTTGAGATCGGTCGAGAATTAGCCGACGGAGTCTAAACGAAAGTTGTAGATCTTCATTTTACCTACGCGTGGATATAAAGAACGTCGAAAACAGAGCTCGTATGCGAAAGTTATGATTTTTCTAAGTTTGAGGGCTGATACGTAGGGGGTGACGTGGCACCACCAGAATTGGACACGTGGCACCACCAGAAGGCCACCACATGGACCAACTCGGCGAGTAGGTCCCCCCTACTCGGCGAGTCCATCAGATTTCTCCCCTATAAATAGAGGTGTCGGGTTCCCTCATTTCCTCACCCCTCAACCCTCTTCTTTCTCTCTCTAAACTCTCTCTCTCTAAGCCCCCTAACCCCCCTAAAAGCCTAGGTAAACCCCCTAGCACCCGAAGGAAGCCCCGAGGCTCCCGGAGTCCCGAGAAAAGAGCCTTTCGGCTCGGGAACGCTGCTCCAGCAAAGCCCGGTTTTCGAGAAAAACCCGCTGTAAGTGAGCTGTACCTATCTTTATCTTTAGTTTACCTTATGTTTTAATATAGGAATGTTATTAGGTCCTTAAAATAATTATTTGGGATATTATTATGAGTTATATTGAGTGTTATTAACGCTTATATAATAATATTAATAGTCAGACAATTAATTTGTCGCGGTTATCATTAGCCTAAACCCTAGCGGTATCGATACTAGGTTTTATCGAAGGAATATCATTTTGAGAGTATCGAAGCGCTGTCCGAGTGCTGAGTCACCACCTAATCAGGTGAGTGCATAGTTACTTTCAACTTATACATAGATATGAAGTATTTTATATAAATTACGTGCTTTGTATATGCATATTATCTGAATACTTGCTATCTATGCTAGATGAACGTTGTTATACATGTTTTCAATGATTTAAAAATGTATATGTATTTTATATCTACAAAAATGTTGGGGTAAAACATGGGTAGATGTAATAGGTGATGTATGATAAAATGATGAGAGGCCTCGATGTTGTTGTTGTTGATCCAGTCATCTAGCGGAGTATAGATGACGACCACGGACTCTTCTAGACAGTCCAGTGGAACACTAGCAGGCTCGCAACCTGTAGGTGTTGTGAATGATGTGTTCACCGGTGTACTCCATCCCCCACATGGTTGCCTATTAGGACATTTATTGCTGAGGAATCCCCTTAGCAGTAGTGTCCGTCCCGATGATGATCCTTAGGCTAGGTCCCTTATGATAGGTGTTTAGGGACGTAAAGTGAGGATAACGGGAACGGGTAATCGGGTTATTGTTGATTGATGAAATTAATAAACTTATTTATTGTGGGTTGAAAACCCTATGTGCTCACCAGGCTCCCAAGGGCTGACCCACTCAGTTTTATGTATTACAGGTAGTGGCGCATGAGCATAAAGTGTGATGTTTTGGATGGGGGATTACGGATATAGGCCTGTAGATATGAAATAATGTAGTAAGGCTTATATTGTACTATTTATACTTTTGATCTGTACGAACATGACATCCCGAGTCTTTTAATGAAATACATTTCTATGGAAATGCTTTTGATAAATCTTTATCATATTATTGTTTTGGGACAAATTCCGCAACCCTTTTATTAAAAGATAACTCTGATTTTGAAATAAAGCATAAACAAAACCGGTCTTTTCTGACTGTGATTTTGGGGATGTCACAGAATCAAAAACACTAAATCCTTTCAACTTACGATGTAGGGTATTAACTTTTGTTTGTGTGACCACACAACAACACAGGGGAATCGAGAACCCCTTTTACGATAGTGTAATCGAAAATAGATAAAACAATAAGGTCATGGTAATAACCCCCACATAGCAAACGCAATAGGTTTTGCAGACCTCTTGCTTTGTCCCTTTGTTGAATCATATTGCTTACATGATGTTATTGAAAATCAAAAAACTACATCAATGAAAATATCAAAAAACAAAATCAGAAGAAACCTAACAAAAAACGAATGTCGAAGAGAATAAAAATCAAATCAAACTGTAACAACATAAATTTTCAAAACATTTTTTTTTTTCATTTTAAAAACATAATTCATTCATAAAGAAATCCCAAAATTCAATGTTCACATATTATCCGATAAAACAAATCCCAAGATCTCAATACATAAAATCCCTTAGTGTGTACGATTCATGTCAGCGCCTTCCCACAATCATCGCTAGTACCTGAAACACATAACACATAAAACCGTAAGCATAAATGCGTAGTGAGTTCCCCAAAATACTACATACAACACATATTAGCCACTCGAGGCTATAACTCTGTATGTCCCTCTGGTCAGTGTGTCTTAGTGGTACCTTCTAGTCCCATAACTCTGTGGCCTTCTAGTCCTAACTCTGTGGACCCACTAGTCCTAACTCTATAAAATTTGTATCATACATAACACGAATCACATAGAAATCACATCATACAAAAAAAAAAAAAACATACAAGATACTCTGTCACATAACTCTAATTACCACTCTAGGTAACGTATAGTGAGAAAACTCATCTTGGGTAACTCGGATAATCTCACACACGAATATACTAATCTAGTCCCCGCCTAATCACATAAACAATATCCTCAAATAAATAATGGCTCTCAATGACTAGATTAAATCCCTTTCTACAATCCCACAGAAGGGTAAAAAACCATTTTACCCCTCCTTGACCCAAAAGTTCAAATGTTGACTAAAACCCTAAAAGTCAACGAAAGTCAATAGGGGTGGTATGCGGCGTGTACCAGCTCTTGTACGCAGGGCGTACTCCGGCGATCCAGAATCGGGGTCTCAAACCCTTACGCTGCGCGTACTGAGATTTACGCCCAATGTAAGTCTCTATTTCATTCTCTTATGGATTTTTGGTCTTAAACGGTTAAGACATAAACTCAAACTCCAGATCTGACTTTTCTAAGGTCACTTAACCCATAAAGTTGAAACCTTTAAGCATTTGCATGACTATAAAGGTCACCATTCACTTCAAACATATAACCTATTTCCCCATAAAGCCCTAAACTCATGCATGACTTAATATTCACGTCTATGATTGGATTTTTATGAACCTACAACTCATATTACTCTGAAATATGGCGGATCTAAGCTTACGGAGACCATTTGCTCATAAAGTCTCCACTTTGGGACCAAAAACCCTAAAAATTGGTCCATGAAGCACAAAACAAAAATGACAAGGAAAGCTTTGAGCTTTTAACCTCCAAGTGAAGCTCCTCCCTCTGTAGAACTCAGACCCAAGCTTGTACTCCAACTTGTAGCCTCCACAAGAACCTCCTCTTCTTCTTCAGTAACACACAAAGGTACTTTCTAGCTCAAGAACACTCACACACTAGCTTTAGAATGATAATATTGCTCTCCTAGGGTTTCTCTCTGTGGAATGGTGGCTGGGGACAAGACCATATCATTCCTTTTATAGTCCACAAGCCACAATTAGGGTTTGCATCTGGGCCAGCTACGCCCAACGTACCTAGGCGAGTCTGGGTCAAAAGTAAGCGCCTGAGTACACGCATCGTACTCTTCAGTACGCCCAGCGTACTCAATAGCCATACTTTTTCCTTTAGGGACTAAACTTGACAACTTGCTAGAGAAGAAGGGTTAAATAGATATACCTGAATTTTGGGATGTTACACAAACCATGCGGAGAGAACAATGGAGAGAATGTAGAAAGAGATGAAGAAGATTAAAGCAACTGAGGTATTTGAGGCGGTGGAATAAACCAACCCATGAACAGTATGTGGTCAACACCTGTTCATAAAGGAGTTATATATATATATATATATATATATATATATATATATATATATATATATATATATAATGGTACTTCATATATATACTGTAGCTAAACTCTTACATTCGTAGTTTGTGGCTATTTAGTAACTAATTACCTATGAAATAACTAGGAATTACTTATGTCGCTATTCTGTACGTAATTAACAATGGAATATCTATGGATTTACTTTCGTTGCTATTTCGTTACAAAATTAGGACATCCTATTCCGTAAATTATCTGTTGGTATACGTAGCTAACGCCCATGTTTTCTAATAGCGTATAATTAAACTGTATTTGGAGATCTATTTGGAGATCTACACAGTAGAACTCGTTTCAAGACTTGAAGTTTCTCAAATATCATTTCGAATTGTGTTTATTCTACAACAAATTGTAAATAGTAAATATTAAAAACCTTTTACTGTTAATCAAAGAAAACCACGAACTCGAAAACATTTATCAATTAGCAATTATTAGCATTAGCAAAAGTCGAATTAAAACTTAAATATAAATGGTATAAATAAGAACGTTAATCAAATGACAATTAGCATTATAAAACCAAAATTGAAACACAAATTATGAAAAATATATATCCGAAGAAAGCTGAACCAATTAAGATTTGATTTATTCATTTAATGTGTTAAATCCATATCCAAATCAAACCAGAAACCAATTAAGTTGATTCAAATAAACCAAATCTTATTTGGTTCGGAACTTTTTTTCGGTTTCACGTTTTTCTTTCTACACACTAGCATATACTTTAAAACAAGAAACATTAATTAAAATCCTCTATAAATACAAGTAACTTTTATGGATGAAGTTTTCAAGAATTAGCAAATCCCACTTAACAATCATTTAATAACCAATGAATAGTAATATACAATACAAAATACTCCAGCACATGCAATGTCCATCTATGTAGAAATGTCGTCGAAATTGTGTAAAAATTTTCATTTACTTATTTCCTCAGAGAATTCCACAACCATTACCCGCCCATATATATGCTTTGCCGATCGATGGAGTAGATCATATTACTTTTAACCCTGGACAAGCTGAAGGGACAACTTTACCGACTACTTTGGGTTTAATATTAGCACACTCAGAGGTGGCAGGTCCTCCTTTAGGTCCTTTGAATGTCAAATTAATATCAGCCACATTTACGTCCTTGCATGGTACACCCGCGCTGCAATCAAACTTCAATGCCACCTTAGTTGCTGATGTTCCCCTTATATTCCTATAGCTCACATTCGATATCTGCACCTTTGATGGAGTTCCATTCTAGTCGTCGTAAACAAAAAAACTATATTAAATTTTCTACTTTGTACTCATTCACTTAAGTTCAAACACTAAATTATCTATAACTTATTTATGATACCTTGCAGTTATTCATAGGGCAAAATTTTTGATCGATGAATATGGGTAAAGACACATTGTCCATGGTGATATCTTCATAATGCAAGTCACTAACACTTCCTGGGAAAGATGTAGGCCAAGTCTTTATCCTGAGTCCGTTTTCTGTGTTTTTCATGGTGACATTCTTGATCCAGATTCCTTGTACAGGTTCTTCCTTTTCGCGTCTTCCTAAACTCCCAATACCTATGCCATCTCCTGGTCCACACATAATATTGTTAATATGGATGTTCTTCGATCCTTGACCAATAGAAATGCAATCGTCATTCGTTCTTATTACTGAGTTTGTGATGTTGACACCACTTAAACGCCCGATTTGAATTCCATCTGTGTTGACACTGTGTGGTGGTGATAAAATGGTGATATTATCAAGTCTTGTATTGTCACATGAAGTTATATACATGTGAAAGAATTTGCTATCGGTGGATGTTATGTGTTGCAACAATGAATTTGTGATATTATTGAATTGAAGATTCTGAGAAAAGGAGAGGAGAGTATTGGTTAAAGATGGCATATGATAATATTGAAATGATTAACCAAGTTTTTAATTAGAAAAGAAAACACATACGACTGGAAGTGGGCAAGGTCCTGGCCCCCCGTCGGGGCATAAATTTTGCTTCCAAGTTTGTTCGCCTTGGCCGTTGTACGTACCACCGATCATAGTCAACTTATTAACATTCCTTATGGAGATCCAGTATGCGGTTGTGAACTTTTTAAGCTCGGGTGGGGCCTTCATGGTGGCTCCAGTGGCTTTGATCTGAATTGGACCCTTGCATGGGCCAATGAGATCAACAGGAGGAAATACCATATAGGTCCCTGGTGGAATCAACATCGAGCTTGGTGCTACGCTTCCACAGGCTTCTTTCCAAGCACTCACTATCGCCTACAATATAAACAAACAATTTAAGGTCAACTTGTCACAATCTTTGGTAAAGTTATATTAAGCATATAGTGTAGCTTAATCATTTATTCACCTTATTGGAACTATTTTATCTATTTAAAAATGATATAACAATGTCTTAATAACATAAATCACTAGTTAACTATGGGTTTATTTTATGTTCCCAATAAAGTATAGTTGATGAGATAAACGGCGGATTTAGGATTTAGAATGGTTGGGGGCACAAAAATATATTTAATAAGAAAAATGGGTCGGGTCAAATAGTTCACGACATATAAATCGCTCGTTATCAAATTGTAAAATTTGAAATAAAGGTACAAAAATCTTTTTATTTGAGCTGGGGCAATGGCCAAATAGAAACAAAGTTAGGGATGATTATCGAAAACTTCCAAAAACGGACTAAAGTTGCAACTATGAGTAGAATATAAAGACCCTATTTGTAATTTACTCTATTATTTATTGTTTCGTTTGCTGTCCATTTTGCAGGCTTCAAATTTTTTTTTTCAAATAATCCAATAGACGAAGCTTAAATTGTTTGGGCCTAACCAATTAATTTTTTTATATCTAGTTTCATATGTATCACATGCAAAAATTTCCCAACCCTTGGGGGCACGTGCCACCCCTCACCTGCATCTGCCCCTAGAAGAGATACGCGAGTTGTTTGAACTCATGATAAATATCTTTTTTTCTTTATGACATCTCATCTGCAAGAATTTGTTTTTTTGTTAAGAACTCAATTTATATTCATTGCTAATGTTATCATGTATCATGATGAAGATTTCATTCCTAATGTGGCTACTTAAGATATCATTAGGGAGAGGATAGCAAAAGTCTTTGACAAAACTAATGTGGAGCTCAACACCTTGTGGTTACAATGCCCTTCCACCTCAACATGTTGTGAAAACGAATCATTTTTGGCATTGCATTGTCGAAAAGAGACACCCATTTTCCATTTATATGTGGGTGTATTAAATCCTACTTTTTCACTCTCTTCGTCATATCTTCTCCATTGTCATGACACCACTCTATTTCTTTTCCTTGCAATGGTAAATACAAATACATATTATGTGGAGCTTAGGTGGTCATGACAAGCATGAAACCACTCCCTGTTATGGACCACAAGGCAACAAATAAAAAGACTCTAAACATTTATATTAGCTATATATAAAATGTCCAATAACTACATGTAATCAAGAAGGATTTATGTCAATGGTTCAAAAATATTATTAAACCCTTTTACCATATTGGTTTAAGATAAGGTCTATTCACGTAATGTATAGGCACCCCAAATAAGAAAATTATATCGTTACTACCATGAATACCTCTAAAAAATTAAAAAACAATAAACTTGTTTTCCATTTTGTATCTCCATTGCCATTTGTCTAGCAACAATAGATTCGAGGTGTGCAACGTACCAATTCCAAGGCCACCTGGATTAATGGGTGACAAAACGTTTTTCCAAGCCAACCAAAAGATTTTTGTGGGATTGAGTGATGCACCCTAATGAAAATTTATTTCAATATCTTCAAAATACTTGATGTCCATTAAAGTAACACACAAACATAATAAAAAGGATCAAAGTGTCGTTGAGTTTCTACCATAAAAATTGTAGAACAAGGGCTCTAAAAGGCCCAAATACTTAAAGCAAAACTTAATACCTAAGATAAATTTAAGAAATTTAAGAACCATTTCCTTGATGCTAATTGATTCAAGATACAAAGAAACAGACAAACATACTAATAAGGATCCAAGGGGGGTCGATGTTTGTTCTAGAAATCAAAATAAAAAAATTCCGATTTGCTTTGAGGGGGACTCATACAAAGGAAAACATAAATACAAGAAATAGAATTAGGTTTGTCTTTTGCTTAATGATGGCGATGTCTTGTGGTGTTCAATCAAAAGAATCAAAGTAACCATTGATCGTGCTCTTATCCGGTGAGAAATTCAGAAATCGCAAGTGACTATTGGAATTTTCAACTAGAAATTTTCATGATCCATAGCTTTGTAGAGGGACAACATCCTTACAGGTGCAAGAATAAAATGTTGAAAGTATGTTTTCCCTCTTCTCTCTCCTCTAATCGCATTCCCCCTTGGCGTATTTTGTTCATAATTTATCCGAAAATGTAACAACCATTGATCATAAATCTATAATCAGCCATAGATCGTTGGTACTCTATGTGATTGTCGACCTTGATAATAAAACTTTGCTTAAGACATAAGAGGAGAAGGAAGATAAATGAGAAGAAGAAGGCCTTATAGAAGCTCATCCCCAATTCAAATAAGGTCAGTGTCCATGTCAATGCTAGAGAACAAGAGAGTCGGTGGCTTGAACCTTGGAAACCAATCTGACTACCTGACAACAAACTAAGAATCAACAGTGAACCTGATGCTTAGACTTCCAGTTCAAAGTGTTGGAAAAAACCAACAACCTTCAATACTTGACTTTTCCTAATCGATAAATCACAAATCTTCGTTTGGAACAAGATGGAAGCGAAGAACTGAGGATGATCGATAAATCACAAATCTTCATTTGGAACAAGATGGAAGCAAAGAACTAAGGAGGTAGTTATTGGAAATACTGTGTCTAATGTCATAACTAAATTGGGATAACTTCAGGAATAATAACAAAGTCATTTTTATGTTACCCTCAATAGCTAAAATAGCTAGAAATAAAATTGAGAGAGTAAGATAACTCGTTTATTAATTTCTCACAGCTTTAAAAATTAATTAGAAACTTGTTAAAATTAATTTGGAATTAATTGAAGTTAATTAGAATTAATCAAGAATTGATTAAAGGTGCGGCGATTGAATGTTAATTTTTCAATAGTTGAGCAAGAGGAACATTATGGAACCCTTTAAGGGGATGGATGGTTTTGGGAGCTCTAGAAGAGTTCTAGAATCGATCCTAATAACTGAAAAAGATAAAGTTTAAATATGGATAAAAAATAATTATTTAATGGATTCAAATAAGCTTTAGCCACAAGTTACCTCAACTATAAATAGAGCATTTGGCCTTCATAATTATCATTCCTAATTCCCCACACCCTTGGATAATCCAATTTTTCAAAGTACTCTCTCTGCTTTTCGTGATTTGTAGAGTTTTAGACTTTTTGGCATGAGTCCTTAGGGATATTCTATTTTGGGTGCTAGTCCTTCCAAGTTATTGAAAAAGAGTTCGAGATCTTCAATGAATCACAAGTACATATGATGATACCTGAAAGGTTAGTAAACCTATCTCTCTTGTTAGTTTAATTTTATAGTTTTGAAAGTAGGTTGCAATGATAGTAAAATATTGATGTAGGGTGAGAAATGTATACTTAGGATTATATTTAAATATATATCTAGCCCAAATCTAGTGTAAAATCATAGAAAACCCTTTAGTGGTATCAAAGTGATTAGATTTGAATTATAAACTATTTGAAAAAAAAATATATGAGATAAACACAAGAATCTTGTTGTTCACAGGGGGTGGTGCTCTTTCTGCTAATTAGCACATTTCAAAAGTATTGCTACAATTTCGTATTGTAGGGTTTATCTTTAGTTTTAAATAATTATTTTAATTTGTTAAAATTGGATAATTAAAATAAAAAGATAAATATGCTTAAGTAATTTGAAATTATAGATAATGATTTAAAATTAATTAAATAAAATTTAATTAAATATAATATGTTTAAATCACATAATTTTAAATTGTTTAAAATATACCTTTCATATAATTATAAAAATTTATAAAAGAATATGTAAATACCAAAGGCCTTTCTATATGTAATACTATTACTATATGTAAATAATAATACAACATATGTCCTCGCATGTTTAACTAAATTTCGTTAGTTAAATTAAGAGTAGGTCTCATTCATAAGACCATGCTATAAGTGAGATATATAAGAAAACGGTTTATAAAATGACCGTTGAATGAGTATCCTTTTCACTCGCCACTTCTTTGTATGGTTTATTGTCGTTAGTTGAAAGGGTTTGATAGGATGACGTCTCGTTAAAAGTATAGCATATAAAGTGCTAAAAACAAAATTCACTTTCTTAGTTATATTAGAAAATGTGAAAAGCTTCTAACCCATGAATAAAACACATTATTGCTTATTGTCTACTTATTTAACGTGTTTGATTAACCGACACATAAATGATAGACATAAGAAGAAGTGATGTGTATGGATTGTTGGCGGAGTGTATATGGTTAGTCAACATGTCAATTTTGAGAGCCATGACATAATCAAGGATGACACGGTTTTGCATGGTTGGTTCACCATCTTATTGAGAGACCATGGTATCACTAACACAAATAGAGGATGTGAAAATATGATATTAATATTTCATTGAGTAGTTTTAATGAATCTCAAAAGATCTAGACATTTAATCATGATTCAAATTGGTAAAGAGCATTACCTGCCTAAATAACTTAGCAGTGTGTTTATGACATCCGTTACACATCGCAAAGTCAAATATTGATCCTAGCCTTTGTAAATAATAATTTGGGTTAGAAAAATATTTAAAGGATCAATAACACAAATAAGAATGGAATTAAAATTGGATGTTGTCTATATGATAATCCACTAAAATCTACTTCAATAAAAACCTCTCAAAATGATTAGCTTGAAGGATGATCAAATTCGTATTTTGGGAATAGTTCTCATTTATGAATAGAAAGATCATGTCTTACTTAAAGCTCTTCCTAAGGTTTCTCTGCCCATTACATTCATGTTAAGAATAGTTATCAAATAAACATATTAAAGTGAAATGGAATTTCATTTAATTAGGAGTTCTCTATGGTTATCAACTAAGCTAACCATGTACATATAACCAATTCACTCTGTTTTTTATATGAACAACTTAGAAATACCTATTAAGGAGTTGAATGGATGTAGAGACCCTTTGTGACTGACATAGCCAATCATAGAAACGCGCACTTTAAATAATCTCATATTTCCTATTATAAGTAGAAGTTTCAAGAAGAAATTTGTTGCCATACGTAAAAGGTGATTAATGTTGAAATACCTAATCTGTCCCCAACACACCAAGGAAAACAGGATTGCTTATTTTGAGACTTGTTCAGATAAACTATCGTGTCCGAAATAATAAAAGGACTTAAAAGCATTCTAGCCTAATATGTTTGATCGATAAGATTGAAACATAAAAATCATAATTTGATCACAAGCCCATGCTACTATCCTTAGGATCAAACGGAAACTTATGAACATTTAGTTTATAATCAAATATAATAATTCGTAATACATTGGAACATTACTTCTAATACTTAAGTATTTTTAACCAGTGTTCTAAAAGGCGTGCAATGGCGCATGCTAAGGCGTGATTACATCGTACGAAAAGCCATGTGGCGTTCCTGTTAGGCATGGCACATTATGCATGTCATAGCACAAGTTTTTCTTTTGATTGAGGCACATTTTTTTCTCTTTCTTATGCCTTTTCTGATCAAACATACAAGTATTGTGTATTTTTTAAGCTTTTGTTATTAGTTATTGATATAACACTTCTAAAAAGTGGCTATATTTAATATAAATCTATATTTATATGGTAAAATAATTATAAATAATATAGAATACTCGCCTGATATCACACCTTGAAAAAAACAATGGCTCAACATGGCTTGTAAGGCTTGAGGCTTGGCCTTATTGACAAGCTACACCTCACACCTTTTAGAACCTTAATTTTAACTAAGGATAATGTGCTAACATTCGTATGAAAGTGTAGTGACTGTAAAGGAGTAAAGAGGATTAAAACAAGGAGAATCAAAATATATCATGAATATCGGGCGCATGCAACTATTCATAGTATCAAAAGCATCATTCATAAATGTTTAGTCTATGATATTATAGTTTAAAACTATTTATACAAATTTTATGAGATCATTTTGACTCGTTTAAATGTAGAACATTTAATATGCTTTGTATTTAAAAGAAAAGTCATGAAATA